GCTACTCCATTTTGCTATGGAGTGCGGGCACAAGAACTCTGATGAATAACCCCAAACTTCTCAAGATAGGATGTAAGGTCCTCAAAATATTCTTTCGCATTGTCTGACCAAAATCTTTTGACGCAGGTATTAAACTGAGTGAGTATGTGTTCATGGAACTATTGCACAAGTTTAGGCATTTCAGCCCGAGAGTGCATAAGGTAAATCCAAGTATATTGTGAAAAATCATCAATAAACAAGATGAAATATTTATACCCACCCATACATGGTAAATGGTAAGACCACCACACATCAGAGTGAACAATGTTAAAAGGAATAGTTGATCTTTTATTACTTGAAGGATAAGTGCTCTTACAATGCTTTGAGAACTCACAAGACTCACAATGAAGACTCGATAGACTAGGTCCTTTAAATAACTCTAGAAACAACTGGCTAAATGAAGAGAATGACAAATGAACCAAACGACTATTACATAACATAATACAACTAGTGGACTCTAAAACAAATGTAGTTCTCTTAGGTTGTACTTGGCTCTGCTCAGGCATGTCTAACAGATAGATCCCATTCACCTCATGGCCACTCCCAATCACCTTCTAAGATCCCATGTCTTGAAAAACACAATATGAAGGGAAAAAAGTCACTACAATTCAGGGATTTAGTCAAATTATTAACTGAAAGAAAATTGGTATTAAGTTTAGGTACATTAAGAACAGATGATAAGGTCAAGGCATTAGAGGTCTTAATGTCTCCCTTTCCCGTTATAGGGGCTAGAGAGCCATTAGCAAGGGAGATCTTGTCCCGGCTAGAAAGAAGTCGGTAAGAGGTGAATAATTGTGAAACATTGGTCATATGGTCAAAAACACCAGAATCAATTATCCAAGGGGTTTTATGAGTACCTGAGACAGAAGCATGATGTGCAGTGGCACAACTACCTGACTGAGAATATGTAGAGGAAGGAACAATTTCTAAAGGAGTTGTAGCAGTGGACTCTAAGTGACTGGTGATTCGGCCATACTTCTCATATTCAGCCCTGGTGGCTGCAAGTTGTTCTCCTATTGACTTCTCTGCACCCTGTCCTTGTTCACCTTGCAAAGAGGTGGTTACATTTGCATTTCCACCTTTTCCAATTTCAACCCTTTTTCCACCATTTTCTTTCTTGAATCTGGCAGGAACGAGCTCTAGATGCAGCTTCCAACATGTGTATTTAGTGTGTTTAGGCTTCTTGTAGTATTAACAAATAGCATCTTTCTTCCTAGTGTTAACCTTCAGCTTCATCCCAGCATTAGCATAGTGATCAACCTGCGGCTCAACAGACTAAACCTGTCTTCTACTCTCCTCACTGCTCACCAAAGCATATGCCTAAGACAAAGTCACCTCATCCTTTGCTAAAACATTCTACCTCACAATATCATACTCTGAGTTGAGTCCGATGAGGAACTCAAAGACCTGATTTCTCTCCACCAACCTTCTATATGTTTCTTCATCCTTTGTGCAACCCCAAACAACAGTCCCCATCAGATCAATCTCTTGCCAAAGAGATTTCAGCATAGAGAAGTAGATTGCTAAGGGCTTCTCCCCCTATCTAAGATTATTCACATCATGGGAATAGGTCTCTGTGATACTATCCAGCACTTCTTTTGCAGTCTCCATCCATGGGTAATGCTGACTAATGTGTGGTTGCATAGAATTCACTAACCAATCCACTACTGCGTAGTTTTCATCCTCCAATTTCTTCTTGCTCCCGGTAATATAACCCCATTTTCCTCTACTACAAACATGTATCTTAATAGATTGAGGCCAAGCTAAATAATTGGTCCCATCTAGCTTCACAGTAGTCACAGCCCCAAAAAGATTCTCTATTGACCCCCCATGTCCAAACCCAAAATTTATGGAATATTTGGTCTCTCCTCCAGTTTGCTTCATTGAGTAAACGGATGTAAACGAAAATCAAATTAGGACTTTACTAGGCTAGATTTACTATTCTAAGCAAAGAACCTTTCAACTCCCTAAAATTAGGGTTTCACAAGGTTCTGCGGGATAGGGAAAAAGAGAAAAACTTCAACTGCCCCTTCCAGAGGTTACAGAATTCAATCCAACCAAAACCACCCCTAAAAGAAATCAAAAGGCTTACCTCTGATCCACAAGTGCTTGGTTCAAACTGTCTCTACGACCTATAACAAGGTTTCTCCGGTTACCTAGGGTTTTCGAGAAAAATCTCCAAGAACTTGCCCAGGGCTTCAATCAAGGATGAAAAACCTCCACGAAACTATCCAAAAACCTTCCTAACTGGGCTGCATAAGTAGCTGATTAATCAACCAATTAATTTTCCATACACACTATCTATGGGCAAAGAAAGGAGAAAAAAGTCAAAAGTGAGAACCCACTCTAATACCAAGTTGAAAATTACATCTATAGTAATTCAGATAATGCAAGAAAAGAAGAAAAGAGATAAAGAGAAAGAAGAAAAAAGAAGTTTCAACAGTAGGTTGTGGAAGAAGAAAAGAAGGGAAGAGAGAAAAGAAGAATTTGAACCTCTCTCTCTAGCCCCCTTTCATCACTTTTATTAATAATTCTAAGTCTGAGTACAATTACTTGGATGAGGGGCAGCCAGCACTAAAGAAATAATTAAAGAAAATAAAAGAAGGCCCATAAAGCCCATAACTAAGGTCCATAACTAAGAAACATAACCTTTAAATACTACTTAAAAGAAATGAAGAACACTAAGGCCCATTCGGCCCATTCTCACTACATTCTTCCTCCTGTCAAATCCTGAAATCCATGACAACCCCCGGCAAGATCATGTCTTGGACCTCTGAATTCAACCACCTTTCTTTTGTACAACTTTTTTAATTTATTGGTTGGACCTGCCCCAACAAGATCATCATGGGCTGGCTCTTGGCCATTCTCTTTCCTTCCTCGTACTCGATTTCTTTGTACAAAAATGAGTATGTTTCAAAATTCATCATTCTTCACTTAGTCCCTATGGGTCATAATTGGGACTTTGGTTTCCGTAGAGGTTTAAGGGGCGATGAACTAATGGCTTGTCTATATCTCCTACAAATTCTTCAAAATGTGTGTCTAGACCCCGGTAAGCCAAATAAGCATATTTGCCGCCCCACACACACCCCCTAAGGGTTTGTTTTCCAGTGCTTCTTTGTTCAAGTCTCTTTGTAACTCTTCAGCCTCTCCTTCATTCACCTTTAAAGAGTTTTGGTGTAGACTCATCCTACCCAAAATAAGAGTTTTCTGTTGGGAAGTAGTTCACAAGAAGATCAATACTTTGGATTTGCTACAGAAGAGAAGACCCAATTCATGGCTCTCTCCTAACTAGTGTGTTTTGTGTAAATCCAATAATGAGAGTTGCTATCACTTATTGATCTCTTGTCCCTTTGTTGCAGCTATTTGGAATTTGTTTTATACTCTGTTTGGGTGCAGGTGGACTATACCAATAGAGGTTAATATGCTATTTGATCCTTCTATGTTTACTTGGCCCAAAAGAGGGGAAGAATAATGTGGAGATGTGTGAGAGCAGCCTTGGTTTGGACTATTTAGGAAGAGAGGAATGCAAGAATTTTCTAAGAGAAGGAAAGAAGCAAGGAAGAGGTCAGGGATTGTGTGATGGTCAGGGTGCTCCATTGGATCAAGACTATGGAGTTGTTTTCTCAGTTCTCCTTTGATGATGTCTAAAGAATTTGAGAATTAGTTGCCAAAAGCTCTTCTAGAAAGGAAAGAGTAGGGGTCAGCATTTAGTTTATTCAGCTAAAAACTGAACCAAAGAAACCAAAATTCTAAAAACTGAAACCAAAACCGAAATTTTTGGTTCAGTTCAGTTATTTTGGTTAAAACCAAATTTCATTAACATACATAAAATATTATTATTATAATGTATAATATATATTACGAAACTGAATTTCATTATAATATTATATATATTATATTAATATATAAATATATAGTATATATTCGGTAAATTCAGTTTTTTTAGTTAATCAAATTTCTAATTCTGGAAACCGAAACCAAAATTTTCTAATTCACCCCTAGGAAAGAGTAGATGCTCATTGGCTACCTCCACTTGAAGGCTTTGTAAAGTTGAATTTTGATGGGAGCAGTCAAGGTAATTCAAGCCCTACTGGAATAGGAGGGGTCTTGAGAGAAATAGAAGTAATAGAACCATTTTCTGAACCTATAGGTATGGGCAATCCTCTCAAAGTAGAATTGCTTGCTGTGGTACAAAGTACAAATCTCTAATGAACTGAATATAGCAAATGTGGTGATTGAGGGGGATTCAAAATTGGTGGTGAGAAGGGTAAAGAAACCAAAATCCATAATATGGTGCTACAGGGGTGAAATGAAAAACATTAAAATATCTTACCAGGAAATATGAACTTGAGGATACAATGGATGAGGAGATCGGAAAATGTGATGGCCAGTGTATTAGCCAAGCAAGGGGTTAATAGGACTCATTATCTTACGTTTTAATAAATTTTAAGTTTTTTGTCAAAAAAATATGGGTTTTTCTTGAAACTCTCGATTTATGTAGCATATCTTCATTCTAGTTCCTCTCCTACAGCCCAAGTCAAGCAAACACAAGTCTATTTATGTAGCACATCTTCATTCTAGTTCCTCTCTATGAAATATCTCTATCAATGTTCTTATTCTTACTCTTTGTATTCTTCAATATTCAGAATCGTTATTTATCCAAAAAAAAATTCCTATTCTTAAGTCAATAATTGCTTTAAAGATTTTCTGCCATTTGAATAGTTTGAGGAAACCCTTCCTGATTATCCTCTACCATTATTTCTCAGATTTAAACCCCAGTCATCTACCACAAGCTGATGAAACAGTGCAGTGAAAATGCAAACAGAGTCCCTAAGATAGGGAAATCAACAATCCATACACTGGAAACATACCATGTTTGGTTGGTCCTTTTTTTTTTTTGATAAGAGGCTTAGTTAGTCCATGTGCTGTCTGACAAATGAATATAAAAACTACAAACTAACCTTGATGGCATCAATGTTTTTCTGCTTGATATCTGCAGCTGAGTGAAGGGAGGTGAACTTTGCTAGTGAAGTAACAAAAGCATCTCTATGAGTCTTCATGGACATTACTGCAGTAACATGGACTGCATGACGCAAACCTTCAAGACATTGTGCTATTACTACTTCATCATCGCTTTGATCAAGAGGAACACTAAAGGCAGCCAACATAGGAGCCCAGCAGACCTCAATCATGAATCTCAGGATTACTACATCTGTTGCCGCATAATAAACTGACCTGTAGATCACAAATGCATATCCAGATAAAGTATACAGTCAAAGAAGTACCATATTTACTTCATAAAATAACTACTAAAATTTGGTGTTACAATAGGCAGAATCAATACTGAGGTCTCTCAAATAATGGATAAAGCTCTCAGAGATGTAGCAAGGTACAGATGAAAATATAGTATCTATGGGTACACCAATACACCATACACATAGAGTGTATGCAGTCAACACCTAATAAAGCAGTGCAAAATATTAGTACTGGAGAAGTCTGGTTAAACTTACTCAGATTTGCGAGCTTTTTCCTTGAATTGCTCTTGCATGTGCCTGATAAGACCATCACTGGTCTCCATTTGTTCTTCTCCTCGCTTACGGATCACAATATCCAAAATACTATCCAGGCCTAAAAGTCTGTTTGAGTTCATAGATCGCTTTTGTTTAGGAGCCAAGTCATCCTCTTTCATTTTAATTTCATTCTTCGAAATCCGTTCAAACAAGGATCTTAAGTACTCTTCAGGTAAATCTTTTCCATCATCTATGCCACGGTTGTTCCTTACAAAATCATCTGCCAACATCTGTATAACCAAACAAAACAACATAATCAAACTTGTGTTAAAAACATAAAATTGCTTCACCTGAAACTTCAAGGACCATTTACCTTGTTTTTAACCATGGGATTATGAGCATCAGTGTTGAGCAATATAACAGAGTAGGCAAGGACATATGCAGTGTCTGCACTCATGAAAGCTTTTGGATTACACTTGCAATAACGCTCAGCAAATTTTTCCATGATACGGTCAATCTTCTGTGCTTCACCTGGCAACCTAAATCCTTGTAGTAAAGCCCTGATTGCCTCATCAAACTCCATCCCTTGAAAGTCAAAGGAATCCACGTATGCATGCATAACTTTTAATGGTAACTCTTCCCTCTCTCCTAGATAATCACCAATCAAGGTCTTATTCAAACCAGATGTGCTTCTAAGAAAAGCTGCAATCTCCTCTGGCGAGTCGCCTACCTTCTTTGCATTTATAAGGAAATCAATGCCTTTCTTGGGCTTCCTATTAAAAAGAGATATACCTTCCTGCCACAAGTTTCATATTAGATTAGATGTGGAATGGGAAGAAGAGAGGAAGAAGTAAAGAAGAAGCAGAAGTGCATGTAAACATAGTAAAAATTATTTACTTGAAGCTCAAGCTTGTATGCCCGGCGCTTTGTCAATACATCAGAAACTTCACTGGATGTTTCAGAAGGAGAATCTGATCCTTCAGCAGGATCATCCCCATTCCCATTTGCCACAGGACTTCCTGATTCACTATTGTTCTCAGCTGCATCTAGTTTCTTAGGAGAATGAGGATCTGGAATTTGTAACTGTTTGCTCATCCAATCTCCCATTGACCTCAAAATTGCCACTAGGCACCTCATTGCTTCAAGTTTCATGGTGACATCCTGAGGTGGCTGTAGGGTAGCAGCAGCACCAGGTGGAGCACCTTGAGCAGTTTTGAGAAGTCCATTTACCATCCTGTGTGAAACAAACCAAGGGATAAAAAGAGAACAAAAGCAGCTCAGATCTAAAGTCTCACATGCTCAAAATCTTAAAGAATGAAAGAAAAAAGCTGTCACTGTAAGACCCAAGAACAAAACAGAAATACTTAAAGCTGTCAATGCTTGAGTTGAAAAACACATACCTCTCAAATATATTTGATGAATTGACATCACAATCATAATTTATAAAAATATCTACCAAGATCTGGGAATCAACACATAGCTTGTCTAGAAACCGAAGCACTATCATCTTTTGCTGAAAATTAGGCTGAGCAACGTTTTCCAAAACTCTGAGAACAATCATAGGAAAGAATACTCCAATCTCTGCCTTCAATCCAGCTCTAAATCTTGATACCAAACTAATAAAAATGGAGCAAGAAAGCTGAAAAACAATCATAAGGGTTGATGCACTGTTCTTTAACAATGATAGGCATAAGTACTGCTTAATAGCACCTAAAAACCTGTTCCATATCAAGAAACAAATTAGATTGTAGTGAGATCCAATTAACTCATCTAATAAAGATATTAAAACAAATTCTTGAAGTTGACCCCCACGTTATGCAAGACAGAAACAGTAAATTAACCATATCAAAGGGTATATTTCCGTGCAGTAAAGGTTATGAAAATAATGACTAATGAAAGGAAAACATGAACTTCATCTAGATAAGCCAATCCCTAGAAAAGCAATCAATTAGCAAATATCAAGCAGAGGTGATGATAAATGGGCAGACCAAATGCTAAAAAAGATTACATGGATTTATAAAAGGGTATTTAAAAGGCAATTCATACTTAGACCATGATGCTTGCCTCAAGGAAAATGCCTCAAAGCTCAACCTTGAGACTAATGCCTGAAAATATAATATCTCACACCTTGAGATGCCTTATGCTAAGAATATGCCTTTAATAAATAAACAGAATTGTCCTTTAACTTAGCATTATTAGGCAGCTCACACTGGAGGTTTAATGCAGAACCAAATAACCTTTGGAGGAAGGTAATAGCTGAGAAATTTGAGCTGGACAGTAATGTTTGGGATTGCAGCCCCCTCCTTCAACTTATGGCTGCAGCCTTTGGAAAGGAATTTGTAGAGCTAACACCCAGGTCAGGCATAGTATCAGGTTCAAAATAGGAGATGCCAGAAGGATCAGATTTTGGCTGGACCCTTGGACTGGGGAGAGATCCCTTAAAGAGTTATTCCCTACCTTGTTCAACCTGGGAGTTGACAAAGAGGTACTGGTATCCGATTCTTATGTTCAGAGGGGAGAAAACATTTGCTGGAACCCATCCTTCAAAAGGGACTGGGACGCTAATGATTGGGAGATTCAACAGATAGTGAATCTCCTAGCTTTGCTTCAAGATCAGACTCTGAACTTGCAAAGTCAGGATTCAAGTGAAGGGATGATAGATCCATCATATGCAGGTAGGTAGGGCGAAATTTCAAAAATTTCTCTCTCTCCCATGTGGGAATCACATTCCCTGTTTTAGAAAATCTGCATTTTCAATGATCAATCTTGAACCTAAAC